TTTAGGTCCATGCATAGTTGTGGTTTCTGAAAGTTCTGGAGTTACTGAAACAATAAAGTGAAGTGACTTCATAGCAAACTAATAAATAAACTCAGCTCTGAAAACAATCCCTGAAACTTTCAGAAGAGTTTCGTTTTAAAAATCGCCTGCTCTCTTAACTCAGACTCAAAGGGAGAATGCAAAAATCATTATTAACTGCAAAAAACCTGGAGAAATTCTATCTACAAGTCCTCGCACTAGAAAACCATGATTTCAATGAAGAGTTTGTTTGTGAAACGCATATGAATGGAAGATCTGAACTTACGCGAGAAATGTTGCGTTTCGCGACTGATTGAGCCAATCCCTTCCGTTTCCCGTATTCGACGCAGATGTTCTACGGGAACTTGGAGTATAACCTGGGAAGCACGCTGTTTAAAGCCGATCCGTCGAGGCATTGAGCTTCAATAGAAAGTTGATAGGTGAATCGGATAAGGTAAGTCGCGGAATAACCAGCACTTGCTTACCTTTCTTTTTCATAGTAGTCATTGCAAGAGTTGAATGTTACCTGAAATATAGGTATTGTTATCGTGAAACGAGATAAGTCGACTGATCATTCAGAGTTTGGAGATTAACGAGATTTGACTCACCGAACGATGCATATTATTTGAACCCGAATCAATCGAGGATACATCAGTTGATGAGCCTGGTCTAGAATTTGGATTTATGGCAAAGTTAACCTTCTGTGATATTATCCAGTAATTGAGATTTTGAGCAACTGACCGATAAATGCCTTGACCATCAAGAGTAGGCTGTCCTCCTTTAGAATCCAGGTAGAACAAGCTGTTCATTGGAACAAAACCTCGTTGTAAAATAGCTTCTTCAGTGATCAAAGACTTTTTGAAGAATTGAAGTTTGTTTGTTCAAGAAATAGTTTCCTGAAAGAAAACTTGAAATTTTAAATGTTTCGGCCTTTTTGTTCCCGAATATAAGCAATGTACGATAAAGATAATACAAGTCAACAACTTGATCATAAGTAAGAAGTCAACTGTGATTGAAGAAAGGTGCGATTAATACTAAATACGCCAACGTAATCGCTATCAGCGAATACCGGTTCCAATGATCACAACTATGAGTGGTAAAGGCAGACAAAAGGAAGCAGCAGTGAAAGGGGAGCTAAGAAAAGAACCTGGTAAGGGATAGATGAAAAGATGCTTTGCGGCTTTGCCACCAGTCGCATTCAAGATTCAAATAGCCTCTCAAGATTTCCTACAAGTTTTTAGCTGCGTTTGCCAAATTCTTGCAAGTTGAAGCGAAAGTGGAAAGTAGAGGAAAAAGTAAGGAGCGGAGTATAGAAACTTTGTTCCAAAAATCCTTTTAGCGAAAAAAAAGGACTTTTGTACTAAGTCGCTTTTAAGCATCATTTCGTTTTCCTTAGATTAATACACTATAGAAGAGTAGATTTTTAATCTTGTTACATAGAAATCACAATTATTTGGGATTGCTTCTAAAGAGGGACACTAACATCACCAAACAGCTTTCAGTTACAAGTTTCTTTGGTAAGTAATCAAATAATCGAAAATCAGCGGTTACATTTTGATATTTAAGAGCTTCGACATGCAAAAGATCTTCAGAATTCAGTTTCACACCTTCTTTAACAAATGATTGTCAGGTAGTTCTATGAAGTGACTTAGGTCGTGGGTGTAACTAAGCAGAAAAGCAGTGTTTCCAACGAACTGTTTTCTCTTTGCTTAAAACATTTTTTGAGCTTCCATGTTGCTGGGAAATATAATTTGCGAGGTTGTCTTTATGTCCTTTCCAATAAATTTCCTTTGAAGCATTTCCAAGTCTTGAATCGATCAGTATTTACTGCGCATATCTGTTTCATCTAAGTGATTAATTGGAATATGGGGCA